CACTGCTCGACGGAGAAACCAACTCGGCGAGCAACAGAAACCCAGTTGGGACGGAGTCGAGGGTTTCCTTTGAGTTCAACCAGGCGACAATCAGCGTCGCCATCCCATGCGTCCCAGTCTGCCTGCTGGTTCGGTGGTGGTGGTAGTGGCTGCTTTCGCTTGCGTGTTGTAGCAGGTTGTGGGGTTGGGGCTGTTGACGGTGTGTCGTCGGAGTCTTTTGAGGGTGGCGCTGGTAAGCGAATGGGTGGTCGAGAGGGTGCTGAGTCACAGGAGGAGGTGGTGGACGGTAAACGTATAGGGTGAGTTGGTGGAGTTGGTAGTGACTGAAAATGTTGGCGGAAAGTGGGATCCGCTTGGTGGATGTGGTGGAGAAAGTGAGTGTGAAGGTGTGCTACAATATCCGTTGCTTGTCTGAGCAGGTTTTGGACCTGCGAAAGTGCCACAGTGGTCTGATGTAAGAGAGTTTGGGCGTCATTGTGTAGAGGTGTCAGTGTGCTGCTCATGTCTTAAAGGTAGAGGGATGTACAGTCACACAGGGTCGTCACAGGTTGCTGCGGCAGCGCGGCAAGGCAGCTGGACGGCAGCTGGTCAGCGTGAGCACGTCATCACGGGGCCATGCATATGAATTAAGCGAGCATCAAATTCCCGCGGGCATGGTTCGAAAAAGTGCAGGTCCGATTGAAAGATCAAATGCAAAAAACTCCAACATGTGATGAAGGCATCATCTGAAAAGCTGGAAAAAATTCCGAATGATATTCTGCAGAATGAAACCGTCAAAGCTTAAAAAGTTGAAGGCGCAAAAAGTCACGTGACCGCTGCAAAAGTCTTTTCGCTGCTATAGGCGAAGGTTTGTGTGGTGGTGTGAGACAAAAGGTGGAGGTGGAGGTGGTAGTGGTGTGGAGGTGTTGGACAGTGGTGTTACATGTCGGGTGGAGTGGAGTTGGTGGACCAGGCCAGTCCTTTGACTATGGCGTGGTCCGGGTGAATCACCCAGCAGCGGCCCTTCTGGTGGAAAACGGCCCCGTGGTGATCGTTGAGCAGGGTCATGGCGTGTTCCTCGCCCCCTGAGGTATATTTTGTGGCGGCACCCCAAGCAAGGAGTGTGATGATGATGGAGTGGGAGTTCTTGTGGAGTTGCCAGGTGTTGTGGATGATGCGAGCAAACTCGCTTTGATCATGGGGTTGATTGTGGGTGATGCGGACGCCCTGGGCAAAAAAGCCAGGGTAGTTGGCAAAGTGGAGTGTGCTGGGTAAAAATCGACCTTGGCGTAGAATGTTGGCAATGTTGCCGACCGGGCCTGTATGGCCGGCATTGATGTGGGAGACTTCCCGGTGGGTTGAGGTGGCTCGGGAAACCGCGGGTGGTTCAGGTGTGGTGGCCTTTGTGTTGAGGAAGGGAAGTGAGATGGCGTTGTATTGGAATTGGTCGTATTGGCGAGTGGTGTCGTTCCACTTGGCGTGGGTATATTGTCGGAAATCGGTGATCTCCTTGTAGGTGATGTTGCAGTCGGTAAGGAGATTGGCGATGTACTGGTGCTGTGGTCGGTTGGGGGTGTCGAGTTGGTTGGCGTGGAATTCGAACCATTCGAGAAGTTGGTCTGCAGGTGAAAGAGCTTGAAAGCTTGAAAGTCGGGTGGAGGTCGCCAGCGGTTGAGTGGGCGACGAAGGACTGCTGTGGTGGGATATTGAGAGGGGTCGGTGTTGGTGTGTTCGGTGTTGGGGCGTAAATCGATGGGTTGTGGGGAGCGGCTGCGGGAGGGTGTGGGGCTGTATGAGTAAGTGGATGTTGAGGGCGATCGGCGTCGCCGGGTTGTGCTGTGGTGCTTTGAGTGGCGGTGATGTCGATGCCGGCGGCGGTGGTGGTGGCGCCCTCGGTGGTGATGATCAGACTTGCGTCGGCTCTTATGGTGGTGGCGGCGACTGCTGTGTTGTGGCTGTGGGGAAGGTGGTGGCGGCGCCGGTGAAGCGGTGCTGTCGGGCTTGTCTGTTGCAGGTAGTGAAGGCGCAGGGGCTGGTGCAGCTGATGCAACGGATGGTGATTCGGAAGGTTGGGAGCCAGTGGCTGAAATGGTCACGTTTTGGACCGGTGTTGAAGGGTCCGTGGCTGATGTGGTGACATGTTGGACCGGTGGTGTGGGGTCCGATGGCGCCGGTTGTGGGAGTGAGGGTTGAACTGGTGGTGGAGCGCCGATTGCTTGTGGAGGCGGCGGCGGAGGCAAAGGTTGAGGTGGAGGTTGTGTGACTGGGGGAAAAACGGAGTAAGGTTGCCAAACTCCCTGGGGGATGGTGCATTGCGGGTCTGTGGATGGATGATGGGCAACTGCTGCTTGTTGTGGTGCTGGAAGTGGATGGGTCTGCGTGGTGGGGGTAGGTTCAGCAGGTGGTGTGGGATGTAGTTGTGGCAACATGTATGAAGGGGAAGGTGCTGCGGATGGAAACACTGGAGTTGGGTGTGTGGGTTGCGGTGGCGGCTGGGATGGTTGCACAAACGTCCAGGTGGAAGGAGTGCCGTAGGACAGTGCAGTAGGGGCTGGAATGGGCATAGTAGGTGGAGCTTGATAGGGTTGTGATTGTGGATGAGGGAATGCCGATGGTTGTGGTGAGGGAAAGGTGGGTGCAGTTGGCGGCTGCGGCAGCGACCATGTGGGCTGAGGTTGTGTAGTAGGTCGTGGTGGTGGTGTGGCATGAGCATATGGCCAGGGAAAGTGCATGACGTAGTCGGACTCGTCGGTGGTGAGAAACAGCGCTGTGTAGTAAAGGCTTCGCTATGGCACGGCGCGGCGCAGCAGTAAGGATCCAGCTGAAAAATGCCAAGTTGTATTGTCATCGTGATGTGAAAAATCTCATGCTCGTGTTGACGGGGAGTGTGTTGTGAGGCTGAGCTGGGTGTGAGCTTGTTGTCAAGTGCGATCATGCATCTCGAATTAGAGTGGAGAACTCCAGTGTACAAGCTTGAGTTCTGCTGATAAAAAGGTCACGGCATCGATCTAAAAATGCAACATGTGGAAAACAACATGTATGACTGATCCGAAAGCCGGTGGAAGAGAAAGCTGCCGTTTTTAGGCCCGGCGGCCAATGTATCTGTTGATTCAAAGGGTGTATCAATGACTTCCAGTGGAAATCCGGTGAGAGGTGGCATGTTGGGTTGGTTGCTTTCCGATGTAAAAAACTGCGCCCCTGTGACGGGGATCACACTCAGCACCCGAGTGGGACGGCTGAGCGAAACACACTCTGACACTTGTATTCAGTGACTCAATTACCACGATGGGAAGGATGGCGATGGAACAGCAAGGCGCACGAGTCGGCCAAAACAGTATTGTTTAAAAAAGTGTTTCCACAGGTGCAAGTCTGCAGAACGATCTGTCGGCGCTGCTCAGCGGGAAAGCGGCTGCAGGGCTGTGGGGGGGAAAAGTTTGGGGGAAAAAATCGTGGAATCACCATGAATCAAACCGTGCGGATTGGACAGCGTGAGCAACAGTTTCTTAGCAGGTACACGGTCAGACGTCTCTGACCGCATCCCATGACATCACTAGCTTCGTTGGCCAGCGTCGTGATGTCATGCGCTGGCCCCCTGCCTGTAGAAGGTGGTTGAAAAAGGTACAGTAGTTGAAAAACGTGGAAGGAGTAGCGGTGGAAAACCCTTGGTCCAGGGGTGGACACACACACTCACACACACACACATTCACACTCACTTCATTCATATTCACATTCACACTCACGCCCACTCTCACTCGCACTCACGCTCACTCTCACTCACACTCGCACTCACACTCACGCTCACTCATTCTCCTACTCTCACTCACACTCACTCTCACCCACACTCACTCTCACCCACACTCACTCTCACTCGCGCCTGCCACGAAATCTGCACTTCAAGGTTCACAATGCGCTGCCCCTGCCACGAAATCTGCACACCGAGGTTGACAAAGTGCTGTGCCTGCCTTGAAAGCGCAGACTACGTGGCAGGCACAGCACTTTGTCAACCTCAAGTGCAGATTTCTGCTTTGTGAACCTCAAAGTTCAGATTTCGTGGCAGGCACAACACTTTGTGAACCTCGAAGTGCAGAATTCGTGGCAGGCAAGTGCAGATTTCGTGGCAGGCACAGTATTTTGTGAACCTCACAGTGCAGATTTCCTGCCACTACGTCTGCACTTCGAGGCTCACAAAGTGCTGTGCCTGCCACGAAATCTGCACTTCGAGGTTCACAAAGTGCTGTGATGCCACGAAATCTGTACGCAGATGTTCACAAAGTGCTGTGCCTGCCACGAAATCGAGCCACATGTCCAAAAGCTACGATTCACTACACCTGTCACCAAATCAGAGCGCCTCGACGATCACCACCATGGCCAAAGTATTGCACCTGCCACGAAATCTGCACTTCGAAGCAAAGCCGCTCCGATCCCTTGCACCTGTCACGAAAAATTCGACTTTGGACCACCAAAACACGAGGTTTGCCTTGCGCCTGCCACGAAAAGTCACCACCATGTAGGAAAATGCGCACGGCACCACAACGAGAGCGCAGTCGTTAGAAGCACCCGCCGCTTCAGCGAGCCTGCGCAGTCGAAATGCACTTGGAGGAGTTTGAGAGGCATGAATGTACTGTAAATAGCAGCGAATTAGCCGCACACGCCCGCGCGGTACAGCGATCTAAGCACAGCTGCTTAACCCCTACCGTAAGAACCCCTATATAAGTGTGTGCACACTGTTTGCGGGAAAATCTAAACCATCTGAGATTGGGAGTCTGATTCCTACAATTGCGGAGCCACACAAGCTGCCACATGTTTGTATCTGGTCGCTCCATGGCTGATGATCCATCCAATTCTGGGAGACCAAAAGCAAAGATGGCACCTCAAACAAGCCAAGATGATATCGCTAACAGGCCATTTAAGGCACCACAGGGCTGAGTAGGTTTAATCACGCCACCCAAGTTATCCTCGACTAAAAAAAAAAGCAAAAAGGACGTTCTGATGCTTTTTAGATTCTCAAGACTTCCAAACGCCTGGGTCATCTTCTCCACTGCTTTGGCCAAATCCCCATCCTCCAAAGCTTCTGCCGCAGCCTGTCATGAGTTGTTCTGTCCGAGTGAGCCGTGTGACGGGTGGGAAATAGTGGGAGGGAGGTGCTGAACATGGGCTCATGACTCTGGTTGATTCAATTCAGGTTTTTGGACTTGAGGGAGATGGGAAACGTTGCTTGGATAATGTAGGAGGATGCTCTCACCTAAAACGCATGAGAACCAAACCGAAGGCACTGCTTGATTTCAAAGGATCATCGTCGTCGTCGTCGTCATCATCATCATCAGTTTTAAAGCCGGGCTTGCTGGACTTGCTGATCTTTCATCTGGCCATTCCATGACTGTTCATTCGAACGGCATTTGTTGATCTTTGCTTCGTGTCGCCACCCATCCACCCAGACGCCTGTTTGAGCTCGCCCTGCTTGTTGAGCTGGTCATCGGTCAGGTCTAACTCCCCAGCCCTCAGATTTCAGGTGTACCAGACTGGCAGAGTCTGGGACTTCCAAACAGAGAAGGGATATCCGAATGAAAAACGAAGGGGGAGACACCCCCCAAACATTGACGAGACCAAGAGTGATGAGGGGAGTGAGCAGTAAATGAAGAGAATGGTCTTCGCTTCCACCTGGCAGACCAGTGACCAGCTACCAGCTCTTTTGGTCACATTTCTTCTTGAAAGGTCAGGTCGATATGGCTCAACGTCTTCATTGGACCTATAACGAGGGGCACCCTTTACCTCGCCAACACGGATGAATGAAAGCATCACGATCCGGGTGGACCCCCGAACCTGCAGGCGATGGAGAGCTGGGCACCCCAACGGTCCGGGTGAAGGATAGGGCTCAGGATCCTGGACTTACCAAGTCGTGCAGTGGGTGGCCGGTCTGGGTGGAAGATGTGTCAAAGCTCTACTTCGGAGGCCATCGCTATTAGGTTGGAGGCCATGGCTACTAGGTTGGAGGCCATCGCTACTAGGTTCCTTAAAGTGCAGCGTTGGACCTTCAACAAACCTCAGCGTTGGATCATGTTTAATTCGTCGTGTGCACTACGCATGGGTCTACATCCTGAAATACTCATGGTTAAGTGATCATGACGAATTCATACGTATGGTTTTATTCGTCATGTACATACTCTAGTGGATAGAGTTCTGGGTGAAATGACTCTGAGACTCGCCAAATGACTCTCTCTCGCCTTCTCGAGTCTGTCAGGATCAGGATCCTCAGGCTCTTCGGGCTCCTCCTCCTGTGCTGGCCATGCAGTGGGGGCACGTGCCCCCATGCATGTTTGGTGGTCTGTAAACATCATGTTTAGTGTTTTTTCTTGCATCCCAAACAGTGGTGATCATCGTTCTCCGCATGAAAATGGATGTGACTAGCTTGTTTAGGGGTTCGCCGTGCTTAAACCATCTGCCGCACCGTACCGCGCGAGAGTTACAAATGCAAATAGGACCTCCTCTTGAATAGGACGTTCTGTACATGGTTTCTACGACTTGGAAAGGATGTGTCATGTGTCCGTGTTTCACATGTGCCAGTGCCAAAGAATGCTTGTGAGCATCTACTCGTTACAAAAAGAATGTGCATGAATCAAGAGACAAGAGACAGAAAATGTCCCTGCTGTCTCTGCAAGAAACATACGCAGCCTCCAAGCCTACCTGGTACTCCCACCGTTCCAGAGGGGGCTCTTTCGGCAATCCCAAGACAAGGTGGCTTTTCGAGCCGCATCTGGCACCAAAGCTTGTTTGTTTCTTGTGAAAAATCCCTCCACCGCGCACACACACACACACACTCACAGCTCACAGCAGCAGCAGTCTACGACATCCACCTCTTCTTCCTCCTCGACCTTTGCCTGCAGAAAAAGAAAAAAGACTCGAAAATTCTTACAACAAATACAACATATATACCTCAAAAGACATTGTCCATGAATGGTTTGTTCTTGTGAAGACTCATCTAGCTGCATAGCTTGTTCTCAGAGTGTAACAGTTTCTGCAGTCCTGAAGAAATTGAAACAAACTCACCACTTCCGCATACTTTCGGCCCGAGCAAGGGTTGTTACTTCCACAGCACTTGGCCTTCCAGATCTGAGGGTTGATCTCTGTCAAATCAAAAGCTCTTCAGAGCCATTGGTGAGATCAACATAGTGTATGGTATGGCACCCCCGGCACCCCCACTCCTTTGCCAAAAAGGCACCCAGACCGCCAGGAGTTGCTTCACACTTCACCAACCTCACCAACCTGGGTGCCCCGGCAGGTTCAGGCTCAGGTGCCTGTTGGGTCGAGCGTTGAACTCGTTCTTCAGGATTGGAGCCAGGAAGAGGCTCGTTCTTCAGGCTCGGCTTTTTCATTTGGGGGAATTCTTGCAGTTCATGCAGATTCTATAGGCCAATTTCGCACTCTCATCCCCGGAAAGTACTATGTCGGGGGATGTCCTGCCAGTGCCCTTCGATTTGGTCCATGGCACCCTTCATGGAACCCAAACCGGCAAGCAAAGCAGGCTTCGGAGCGTTTGGGATTGGCTGCTTCGGAGTTTGGGTACGGAACTCCCTCGATGAGCAAGCGAAGGATGCCCCTGCATTCGCTACAGACTTCCCCCCACACCACTCAGGTCCATGCAATACCACGGTATTTGTATAGAGAATATCAGGGCCACGAGTCACAACAAAACATCCGTAAGAAGGTCTTTCTTTATGGATGAAGTTGTCGCAGTACCCAAACATAGATGATCCTTTCGACGGAGGGTCCAAGGCTTTGGGTCCAAGGCAGACCTTCAACACCGGTGACCGACTTGGTGGTGGATGTCCCATATCCACGTTGAGAAGACTGGCCTTGGCTTGCGGCTTGGGTTGCGGTTTTGCCTCTGGCACCTCCAGCTGCAGTGGCGGTCGAATAGAATGGAAAACGGTGCCAGTCTTGTACAAGTGTAAGGTCCCGTGTGAATGAAGAAGTTCAAGAAGTTCTCAACAGACCTGGTTGATTCCAATGCATGTCAGGTCAGGCCTCAACTAGTATGTTCCCTCTATGTTCCCTCCATAAATGTCAATTGAAAGCATGACGCGCACTGGTATGATCACAACCCACACTCACCAAAAGCAATACAAAAAAGGAAAAACCAACGCCGACGCCCCAAAGTTTGGCATATAACACACACATGCCTTTGCACCCCAGCTCAGGATGAAGTCCTGACGCTTCGAGGCACGGCAAAGTCACCGTCGAAAGCTCCAGAGGACTTTTTGACCCATCAGAAGCTGCGAAGGGAAAGGTCCACTTTGGCGCCATGTTTCAGACGCCAAAGTCGCTATGTGGAAGACAGACGTTTGAGATATGGACTTCTTGGGCTAATTTGGCTGAAATGGGACCTATGTTGGGCCAGTTTCAGACAATGTTCAAGCACAAATTTTGGGCGTTTACGAGCCCAACCCTTCCGTGCGGGCGGTTGCCGTCGCGAAGCGATGCGAATACATCTACAGATATCTATAGAAAATCGAACCATCTGCAAATTGGGTGAACACCGTTGCTTGGACCCTATTTGTCCAAATGACTTGCAAGAGCCTTCTCCATCTATGTAGCTCTTTTGCTTCGCTTCACATCACCCAAACGAAGCCCTCCAGTCGTTTGGTGGTCGCGAGCAGCATCTCCCAAGGTCCCTCAGAAACCAAACGCTCTGTGCTTTGTGCACGTAAAAGACGTTTAAGGTAACCAGATATCCCAGAGCAATGGGATCAACGATGATCAACGTGCCCTTAGTTTTGCACCAGGTTTCCAACTTTAAAGGGTCCATGGAGTTCATCCTCTTGATCCCCTTCTTCTTCTTCAGGGTGGCCGTTTTACAGTCTTCCAAAAATGTACGCTGAAATGTCCCTCTTTCGCAAAAACAAAGATGCAGTGCACACCAGGCAGGTAAGAGCCTTGTCGTACTACTAAGCAAGCTAGTGATGGTTGTTGGGCCATGGAAGGATCAGTGCACTAGAGTCACTAGAGGATCTGCACAATCCTTTTCCTGATAAACCCCTCAACTTTAGATGCCCAAAGCGTTTTCACACGAGTTCCAAAATCCAAAGCGATCATCTTGTCAAGCACGGACCCCGTCAATTTTGTTTGGTGCAGTTCAGCTTCAGATCAAATTTAACTGGCAAGGCACCAGAACTCCCCAAAAGGGTTCATAGTTACTAAGTGTCAAGTGACCTAGCATTTAAAAAGTGCTCTTAGTACAACAAAACCTTTCTTCTCAGGTTCTTTCCAGCCTCTTACAGATCGACTTCTGTCACCTCGCAATCAATCAGATCACTTTCTCAATCACCTCCATCGGACCCGCGTGAAAAAGAAGACGCCTCCCATCGCCCGTTCCATCACCCTCCTTGAAGACTGCGAGCTTCGGATCGTAGATCAGCGATGGGTCCTCCAATTCCGGTATATGAATCCAAGTGAAGCCGGGGGCACAACATCACAACCTCTCCTCTCTACAAGTCGATCAAAAGATTTGAGCCTGGTCTTACTGTCTCACTGGTTCTCTTCCACCCACTGGTGACACCAACGATCCTTAGCAACCACCAAAAGAACACTCAAAAGGGAGGTGGATACAGAATGGGTGCAACGAGATCACCTGCCATCTTCTGCAGCGAGAGAAGTTCAAATGATCGGGAGAACAAAACCAAGTTCGCGTAAACAGAACAACCCAAGAGAGGGGAGCGAGGGAGGGAAGGAGAGGGAAGGAAGGAGGGAGGGAGGGAAGGAGGGAGAAGGAGAGGGAGAAGGATCCCTCTTCCAAGCTACTTGGCTTCCAACTGCCACCTGTTCCATCAAGTGACCCATCATTTCCCTGTCACCTCTACCAGGCACCGCATGAGAGCGCCGCCAAGAACTGCGACCCGAAGCCGTTGGCCAAGAGAGGCCTCCTTCAGCTTGGCGACGAGTGCCTCTAAAACTTGCGCCTGGACGCAGGGGGGAAGGCGGCACCAGGACCAAGGCGGCTTCTCGGCAGGTTCATCGCCCCTGAAAGGTTCCGAAGACGTAGCTTCGGATGAGTGCACACGGATGTTCCAAAACCGAATTGTCACGTCATATTCACACTTTAAACCATACAGCCATCCGTGGAGGTGGTAACCTTCGAGGTACAGTATGCATCTTGTAGACCGACCCTGCTGAGGTCACCATACCTTTCAATTCGACGAAAGCGCCGAAGAGGGCACCGAAGCAACCTGCCCAAGACCGGTTCCCTGCACGGCGTGCAGTCCCCGACCTCCGCGGCCTCCACCTCGAGCAGTGCGACCAAGTGAGGTCTCCCCAAAAAGATACAAAACAACATTGCATAGATTTGGGTACCCAAAGTTCAGATGGTGCGTCAACTTGACTCTAGCCTCCATGCCGCAAAAAAGAGCTCATGATTTCATGATAGTTCATAGTTCATGAGTTTGTGGTGCCAGATGTCATTGACCACCTTAGCTGTTCCTTAAGCTCACAATCATCTTCGATACCTGTAAAGGGTTCCGCCACTGAAAGTGGGATGTCCCAGTGCCCTGGTTGAATCTTGTGGTATAATTCACCCAATGAAATCGGACCCTCGAATTGCATGCTGGGCTTGGACGTCCAAAACTGAAAATCAGGCAGTCCCAATGCGAAGTGTCCGAGGTCCTAAATGACATGATTCGAGGTGAAGAAGTAAGTAATGTAGACTTGTAGACCCTTGATCAATAAAGTGCTCCCAATTGGATTGCAAAACCTCTTGTTTGTATTCATCAACAGTCTACAGTTGTTATTTGGCACCTTGAAACATGCCCCCCCAAACAAACAAACAAACAAACAAACAAACATGTTGTGTCCCCACCGACATCACCGACCGAGATCTTTCAGGCCAAAAAACCATGGAAGACGCGCTCTGTACACGAGAGATCGGACACCCAGCACTCAGATGGGACTCTTCAGCCAAAACTCCAGCAGCACCGGTGTGGCAACGGTGGCTCCCTCATGTTTCTGCGTCGTGTTGCCCCATCCAGGTGTTCACATCCCAACAGTGAACCGCCCATACAGGAGGTTCACCCAGCCTGGCTTCTCGTTATGTGGCTTGAAATCAAATCTCAGTGGATGGTCACATGATACAGTTCCCTACCCACAGCGCATAGTGAAGCTAAATGCTACCGCTGCAACTGACAAACTGGATATTGGTCAACCGCTGCTGGCCATATTTTGCATGCACACCACACCTACAAGCAGACACGAGCATCATGGCCATGGCTTTCCAAAATGAAACCCAAACGGACGCTTTTTGGAGCGCAGCGGCTGCCTCAGTCAGTGCCTCCGTCTGGCGCTTCACTTCGGGTCGACACCGTTCGCTGGCGTCACAAAAACGCCTCGCGCCCACTCGCGCCCGTTCGCGCCCGTTCGCGCAGTGGTACGAGCCTTGGATTCTTTGGAGCCTGTGTGGTTTGTGTATGCACAGAAGATATCTTGTGCCCTGGACTAGTCATCCGTCATCCGTAAAGAGAATACATTGCAAAACATAACTTGACTGACTGGCCGACTAGCCATAAGAATATGACTAGAGGTGGCTATAGACAATTACATCCTGGATGCAACAAAAGGATTGCGACCACATCTATCCGCAGACCAAACAAGCGTAGATTCCAACAAATGGAATGGCATCCGCCTCCACTGCGATGGCCAACCACCCCGGATGTGTTCAAAACTGCAGCCCATAAGAATGACCCGGGTATTTCACTAGAATTGAAGGTTTAAGGTTTGCTGCAACTTCTTGAGTCTTGACAGCATCTGTTCTGGACTACAAACAATATTGATGAATGGGCCAGCGATGGCTGTGGCTCCTATCCTCTCATCATGGCTCTCAGTCTGTCCAACGAGACAGTCCGAAGCGGACAAATTTTCAGGGACGGATTGGTATCGGAGATAAATGCCACACTGGCTGTGGGTCAAAACCTGAGCACCCTCGTTGAAAATGAACAGATTCCTCTATGTTTGGGATGTCACCATGGTTTGGTGAGGGAAGGGCCATGACTCACAGTTCTGTGGCCAAATCAAGTGAAAAATCTCAGTGATTGGTGGTTGTGCACGTTCATCAAGTTCCAAAAGCTACCAGTACCATCGCCTGGCCAGGCGATGGTGTTCACAACATCCCGAAACAGGTTTGGAAGTATACTGTGAGAGCAACATGGAATCCCAAAGACCCGCTGTGTTCCTTGGCCGCCTTGGGTGCGACCATGGAGCCAGACATCTCCGCGCAATCGTCGGACGCTACGAACGTCACATGTTGGGCACTATGCGCATCGAACGGAGCGATGGGACGCGAACCGAAGTAGGGGCGCTCCTGGCCTTACTATATAGTAACAATGAAGCTACGAACGTAACAAGGGCATCGCTGCTGGTAACTGAATCACTGTTTTGGTGTCACCAATAAAAAGGCAGCAACGATCCACACAGAGTCATCGTGTTAAGAGTCCGTGCACATCCCTGTCACTAGCTCAACCTTGAGCCAAAGACACCAAGACCAGCTCGATCTCAGGCTGGTGATCTCCCCACCTCGTCTTTTTGAAGAAGGTGAGTTCAACATGAGTAGATTCTCCTGCTTAATGCTCTGTGCTCTGTCCGACGTGAGGACCCCGACTTCAGCGTACTCTAGAGTAGT